ATATATATACGTATACATGCATATACATATACATGCATACGTATATATACATACATATATCCCACATGACATTTGGACACTGTTTCACTGTTTACACAGGGCAAGTACCCATTCACAGAGTCTGAGAGAAGAGCAGGGGAATGGAGCAATGCTGATCAACAGGTGATATAAGTATTTCCTACCTCTCTTCCCTTATCCTTCATTATAGTTTTGTTTTCATTAATTATATTTTGTGATTGTTTGAAAGTAACTTGATGGGCTTCGAAAATCTAGTAAAAGAAGCTAGAAATGGTGCTTGTTGGGTGAACACATTTTAAATCAGTAAGGTCTTGCAGCATGGGTATGAGTAGCCTCCTCCCTCTGGCTCTCCTAGACTGCTCTCCTCATCCTCTGCTCTGGGTGGATACTCCCCTGGCCCAACTGCTTATGCTACCCCATCTCAGTCTTTAACAAGTCTTCCATTTCCTTCTTCCTCCTTAGCCTGTCCTACAGTTGAAAGAACAAATGAATGAATGAATGAGCTTAGAAACCAGGGCACATAAACCCCATTATTAAAGAAAAAGCCCAAGATAGAACACAAGTGCTGTATAGGTGGAGGAGGCTCTGCCTAGAAGGAGCATGGGAAGGGGCGTGGTTATGAGGGAAAGGCATAAACCAGGTACGGAGGTATATGTGGCTTGCTTCTCCACAACGCTCCTGACACAAACTTCTATCAGGAGACACTGTGCCATACTTTGGCAAGTGCCTCAGTGGCAGGAACAACAAAATCAAGATCCAACACACTCCCTGGAAGAGCCACAAAAGGGTTTTCACCACAGTGGAGCACCCTCTCTGATGTCCCCAAGGCCTAACACAAAGACTGGCATACTTAGCATTTGTTGAATGAGCTCCTTGGTACTTTTCACTCTTACTGTTTAGAATTGACTCCAGGTAGAATTGCACTGCTGTTATTGTTAGGTGCCATGGGGTCAGTACCGACTGATAGCGACCTTATGCAAAAGAGAACAGAGCACTACCAGGTCCTGAACCAACCTCATAATCACGGCTATGCCTGAGCCCACTGCTGCTGCCACTGTGCCAATCCATCCTGTTAGAGGTCTTCCTCTTTTTCTCTGACCCTACACTTTACTAAACATGTTATTCTTCTCCAGGGACTTGTCCCTACTGACCATATGTCCAAAGTATGAGAGATGAAGTCTGGATATCCTGATTTCCAAGGAGCACTCTGGCTGTACTCCTTCCAACATAGATTGGTTTGTTCTTTTGGCAGTCCCTGGCACTTTCAATATTCTCCTCCAATACCATAACTCAAATACATCAATTCTTCTACGGTCTTCCTTATTCACTGTCCAGCTTTCATATGCATATGAAGTTATTAAAAATACCATGACTTGTGTCAGGTGCATCTTAGTCCTCAAACTGACATCTTTGCTATTAAACACTTTTAAAAGGTCTTGTGCAGCAGATTTGTTTAATGCAATACGTCATTTGATTTCTTGACTGCTGCTTCCATGAGTGTTGAGTGGCTGAGCTGAGCAAAATGAAGTCCTTGACAACTTCAATCTTTTCTCCATTTATATGGATGTAGCTTATTGGTACAATGGTGAGGGTTTTTGTTTTCTTTACATTGAGATGCAATCCATACCGAAGGCTGTGCTCTTTGATGCAGAATTATAGCAACACGTAAGCCACCACAGTACGACAAACTGACAGAGGAGTGGTGGAGAATTGTACTAGGGAAGTCCTTTTCTGTTCCACCTCGATTCAGACCCAGTTCAACATCCCTGTAGCCCACGGAGAAAGAAACTCAGAAAGAAACTTCAGTGCTGGGTTTTCTTTTGTTTTCTTCATTGAGGATGATTGGGCAAGCCCGATTTCTAAGCAATGTGGAAATTGCAACCCTCACATGATTTCACATCTTCATAGGGGGAGGACCGTTGCACCATTAAAACTTCCTGACTGTGGGGGCTGCCAGAGGAAGCTTTCAGAGACCAGGGTGTGGGCAAACACAGAGCCTGTGGGCCCAGGCTCACAAAGCACAGGTCTGCTGTGTAAAAGTGAGAGGCCCAAAACCAGGCTCTGCTCTTCTGGAATCCAACTATAAATGGTGATGCTGAGACCTCCTGCCCACATCCACCTCCCAGATTGATGGGGCCCACAGTCTGGGTAGGAAAAGGGAAGTGAGAGAACCCCAAAAGAGAGCACACACAGCCACTGCACCCCTGTTGGAGCCTGAGTAAACATTACTCCCTGAAGTTTGGAGTCACCCCCTTTCCTCCTAGCTCAGGTGTTGGAGTCAGCTCATACTGCTTGCAAGAGCTGATCATTACATTTTTAGGAATTTTGCAGACCAGTTGTTAAACACACCATTATTTTAAAAAATTAGATTATAACAACTTAGAAGAAAATGGATATAAATAAAAGTAATAAATACTCAAAACTCATCACTCCCTAATTATTGTCCTGCATTTTGCAATGATATGTGCTCCCAAGGCTACTTACATCTACTGTGTCTGTATGGTAGAAACACTACATGCACATCGCTCTTTCCAACTTCTCTTTCAGCGCCATCATGTTGGGAATTTGAAAATGATCATTGTGGGCGAACTTACACACAGAAGTCAGTAAACCCTACAAATCAGGGCTTTGGACCCCGGAAAAGCTGTTGCTGAGCATTAGGCATTATATGCTGCACCTGAGCCACAGCTGGGCAAAGTTTGGCTGGCAAATAGAGAGCTAGTCCTGGATTTTCCTCCCCACTGAAGTCACAAGGACTTCAGGGCACAGCCAGATCAGAGGAAGAAGTGAGAGGAAAGGAAGAAGCAAGCAAGAAGAGAAAAGGAAGCCGGAAGTACCTGAACCCCATCCACAGCACAGCTGGGAAGAGTTTGGCTCGCCTGTTGGTTGGTTATGTGGCATGGAGTCGGTTCCGACTCATAGTGACCCTGTACAGGGTTTCCGAGGCTGTAAATCTTTACAGGAGCAAAAAGCCTCATCCTTCTCCTGCGGAACAGCTGGTAGTTTCGAACTGCTGACCTTGTGGTTTGCAGCCCTACGCTACCAGAGCTCCTTGGCTCACCTGTCAGGTGGGCAGAAAAGAGCTAGGGGCAATTCCGAGAGAACAGTTAGGGGTGTGAGGAGGGTTACACAGCCAGTTTGCAGACATGGAAGAAGCAACCTAGGTGAGGAGAAAGTGTAGCAGGTAGAAAGGGGGTCTTGGAAAGACACAGAAGGGGAAACCATAGAAATTTGCAGTCTTGTGACCACAAAAATGAAATTAGCCAAGGAAACGGCAGCCGTTGAACCATGGAGCTGATAAAAGGTCCCTGGCCAAGGCCCTGCTCAGGCAGATGGAATGGTAATGAGGAGGGCAGTGCAGAAGCTTACTAGGGGGTGAGGGGTGGAGACTGCACCCAGGGCTCACTCCCAGAGGAGATGATACCAAAATGACTATAAGATTGCTGTGCAGTGTTTCAGCAGCAATTTATTTTTTATTAAAATTTCCCTGTAATGAGTTATAAGGGGAGCGCAGTAGCTCCTTAGGATAAGCACTGGACTTCGAACCACAAGGTTGGTGTCAGCTTGGGAGAAAGATGAGGCTTTCTGTCCCTTGAAAAATTTAAAGCCTCAGAAACACTACACAGGGTTGCTATGAGTCATAATTGACTCGGTGGCCCTTAACAGTTATAAGAACAAAAGCACTTCTCAAAAGCCTAGCTTACATATATCCATATACTTGCAAGGCTAATTTACTTCTGAACCTTCTCTATCATTATTATCCAATTACAACAAAGCTTTGCATCATTAGGTTTTGTCTGCACACACTGTTGCAATTTAAAGGTGTGATTTTAATGTCACTGCTTGTTTATGTCACTACTATTGCTATTACCATCCGAGATGGACAGGAACGATGATTTACTAGTACAAAGAACATTCCTAAGGATTCTCTATGGTCTGGTGTGGGAGGAAGTCCATGGGGGGAGGGGTGACACCATGAGTTACCACCCTGAGTGACATCAACCCTAGTGATGCCACTGGGGTAGTCAGAACACAAGAGGAAGTTCACAGTACTCAAAATCCTGAGGTACAGGCTCCTGACACTTCCCCACCCTTCCTGACCACTCACTCCTCGGCTCCTTCCTTACCCGGTAGGGTTTCTCCAGGTCACCCCCAGGCTTCCCCTAAGCATCTCTCGCTGGAGACACCCAACATTTATTTCTTAAACTGGAAGTATCCCACCAGTCCTCAAACACAGCCCTGTGCAAGCTCATCACTCCTCCTCCAAACCTACTCTTTCTTCCAAGGTCCCTGTCTCAGGGAGCAGCAATATCAATGGCCCAGCTGCCAAAGCTAGATTAGAAACCGGGGCAACGTCTACGTCTCCCTCAAAGCTGACCATGTCAGTTCCCTACTTGAAATCTTCAGTGACTCCCTATAACCTCTAGGATATTGCCTAAACTCATTAGCATGGCTTCACAACCCTTTTCTGATCTAACCAACATAAACGGAAGAAATATTGCCCATTTACTTGTACATTTAGCATCACTGTATTGTGTGCTGGGCATTGTGCTGGGAACAAGAATCCTGGCACACCATTCATCTCCTGGGGTGAAGGGAATATTTAAAAGCATATACATACTTCACACATTATCAGGAGGGCTCATCATACTTGGTAAAGTAGAGGGTCAGTGAAAACAATTTGGACTGGCCCAGTGGCAGCAACGGGCTCAAGTGTAACAATTGTGAGGTTGGCGAGTGCAGGACCTGGTAGGGTTTCCTTCTGTTGTGTGCAGGGTCACTATCAGTTAGAACCAACTCAAGGGCACCTAACAACACAAATCACGAATTTTAATCATTGTAATGTGTGCAGGGAAAGGGACTGTTCAACTACCTGCTTTGACCACAATAAACGACTCATAGCTTCTGCCTTCTGGCATTTACCTCTGCTGTTTGCTCTCCCTAAAATGCCCTCTCACCTTCATTTGGCTAAACTTCTGGAGTCCTCCAGGATAGTCCTCAAGGTTCTCTCTCCTGGGAGTTTTTCCTGAATCTCTTCTGTGGTTCCATGAGCTCCTGATATCAGCCCTGAGAGAATGCTGAGAGATCTCAGCCCTGAGAGAAGGCCTATGCCCTGTGCTGATGTTCAGTAAATGTTGACTGTGTGAATGACTAGTAGGTTGTCTAAAGTCATGTCTGAGTGTCTGTATTAATAAAAATGCTTTTATAAAATAATTTACCTTGACTTCTTAAATTCAGAAAAGGTTGGTGCTGAGTGTTAATAAAGGCATAAAGAAATGTTCCTTAAAGCAAAAATCCTGGGTTTTCAGTTCGCTGTGACTAAGCATGTATGGAGAGGGTGAGTCTTTGGGACCCTCCAGCAGACATAGTGGGTGTGGCTGCTGTGGTGAGGTGAACCCGTCTGCTCAGATTCACACAGTCTTTGCTTCAGCTGCAATCTTTATCTTTTCTTCAGGTTCTTAGCTCAGAAACCTTAGCTGAACTTCCTCTATCACTCACCACGCTGCCCCTGGAAACCTCCAAGCAGCTGGAACATCCTAGCACTTTCTTTAGGACTGCCTCACTAAGGGATCTCTGCTCCTTCCTGTTGGCTGGATCTAGGGGAGAAACTGTACCACCACCCTACCACCCTACCACCCACACCACCATCCCGCAGCTCCCTAGCCTGGTTTCTACCAGGGTCTACGGCTAAAGCCAGATCTAGAAGCAGCAAGGTTAGGCAGGGAGGTGAGTCTTGTTCCCCACCCACTCTGAAAAGGCTCCTGGCCCCTGTAGAAGATGATTTGTTCTTTCAGGGTAACCCCACCCTCAGTAATTTGCCCACAAAATTCCCTGAGCTTCCTCCTTCCTTGGAATCAGAGTTGGAAGGTCCCTGATCCACCCCCTTCATTACAAATGATGAAACTGAGGTCATGACAGGGAGATTAATACCCAAGACATCATAGCTGGGAGGGGCAGATCCAGGGTGCAAATCAAACAAATAACAAGGGCCAGTTTCTGTCAGGCCAGCAGGGTCCTGTAGCTAAGCCCTGCCACCCTGCCTGGTTTTCATACGCTACCCAACTTTTCCCAGCAGATATGAACCTGAAAGTTAACACCTCCAACAAATGAAACTCAAGGGGATCATCGCCACATCCACCTCCTCCACACCTACTCTCCTCCACCTACCCTTCTGACCCAGAGGTGGAGGAAAAGCTTGACCCGACCTGACAGGTCTCTCCTAGGCAGAACCAAGAGAAGGGACTGTACAGTGGCTGATTCTTGACTTGCTTGTGTCTGGTGTCCCTTGATAAAGAGTGACAGCCAGCTAAGCCTTAAAGAAGGAAACTAGCACAGGTGTGCTCTGTTTACCTTCCTAGCTCACAAACATGACAGAAACCACCCAGGCAGACAGGATAAAGTCCCAGTCTCTTAGCCCAGCCCTCAGGGCTCTCCCATCTGGCCACAGGCTGCCTGTCCAGCATTTGAGGACCGATGCCTTTCCTGCCATATCACACCTTCCTCAGATTGCACCATGCCCTCTTAGCCTCCCTGGCTTTATAGTCACTGTTCGCTCTGCCTCAAATGCTCTTCCCTTCTCTATCTGGCAAACTCCTTCTCATGGTAAAGATCCTCTCCCATCTCTTCTGTGTTCCACTTCTCCTCCCTCTCCCCTTCTTCTTTCTACCCGACTTTTTCCTTCTTCTCCTCTTCAGGGTGCCTGAACATTTCTGTACCACTTTTAAAGCACAATAAAGAAAATCCAAGGTCATGAGCCATGTCCCTCCATCAGACTCTCAACTCCCCATTGACAACAATTGTACCTTTGTCTTTGAAGTCTTACAGCACAGCACACAGTTGGCACTTAATAAAGGAATAAATTCCTAAACAAAACCAATACACACACTCTGATTTTATTCCCTGGTTAAATCAGGAAGCAAGTCCTAAGGTTACTAAAGGATACCCTTCCAACTTATGTATTTACCATGTGCAACCAGTGTGCAAAGCAGTGAAGACTGTATTTACGAAGTGCCTAGAGCACGAAACTGGGGAGACACCAGTCCTGCCCTCAAGAAAGTTTACATTTTGCAGACAAGGCTTAGAATACAAATTATTTGAAAGCATCTAGCACTTACTGAGTGTTACTGTTAGGAGTGTTTTACTT